GAGATCCGTCCTAGCGTCATGTTACGGGAGTGGAGGCGGACACCAGAACAGTCTGACGTCTGGCCAAGGCCACCCAGCAAGTTCGTGCTGGAGCCCAGGAGTGATTTCCGTTGTGCCAAAACCCAGCATTTTGATTCCCTGCTTAGGATTCTTTTTCTTTTTTCTTTGAAGATTTATTTATTTATCTTAGAGCCAGCGAGCAGGGGGAAGGGCAGAGGGAGAGAGAGAATCCCAAGCAGACTCCCTGCTGAGCATAGAGCCCGACGCGGGGCTTGATCTCACAACCCTGAGATCATGACCTGAGCCGAAATCAAGAGTCGGACATTCGTTCAACCAGCTGAGCAACCCGGGGGGCTCTGAAGAATTTTTTTTTTTCTTTCAATTGATCTCAGACTGTTGTTTTCCTTCCCTCCTTGTCCCATCTACCCATCCTACCTTTTGATCTTTTAGCAAAGAGTATCTGAGTTTCCCCGTCTCTGGCTATGTGCTGGGCCCCCTACGTTCTGGCCAGCTGGGAGTCCAGGGGCTCCCTGGGGACATGGTGTGTCCTGTGGGACTGGGTACGGGCCCCTACGTGTGAACAGTTTGGCTTTTTAAAACATTTATAGTCAAATACACATAACAAAATTTACTCTCCTAACCATCTTTAAGTGTACGGTTCAGTGGTATCACGTACATTCACGCGGCTGTACGGCCATCACATCATCCCTCTCCCGGACTTTCTCCTCCTCCCACACTGGAACTCTGTCCCCCTTAAACACTAACTCCCCATTGCCTCTCCCCCCAGGGTGCTGGCTATGGGTGCATTAATTGCGGTTGGGTGTGGCAGCCCCATGATAACCAGGTGTGTTGTAGAAAAGCCCGGTTTCCCGAGGTCACCCCCCTCCCCCCACCCCTTTCATCCTGTATTCAGGCTCCCGCCCAGGTGGCCTGGGAACATTTAGAGATACATTCCAGCCACCCAGTTTGGCAATTCCATGTAGACCCCCGTCCTTCCCAAGCACGGTGTAGCGTAGTGGGCGGCGCCAGGTGGATGCGTGTGAGGTCCCTGCCTGGGGAGCCGCTGGTTCTCCCTGCCACACTCACCCACCCGGTGGCCCTGTGGTGTGCTGGGGCTGGGGAGGCCCCCCGATGTCCCCTCTCCCCCCAACCCAGCCCTGGGCGAAGAGTCCAAAGGGGAATGAGGAACTTGGCATTGGAAAGAAGGAACCGTCCAGAGGGGCCCTCTTGAGACGTCCGCACAGAGGGCGGACGTGTCCAGCCGAGCCTTCCGTGGGCACCCTTGGCTGAAGGCTGTCGGGAGACGATTTTTCAGCTCATGTTGCTGCTGCAGCCAACCACTCAGCATCAAATCGCCCGTAAAAGCGAGCTGAAATTACCAGCGAGGAAACCACATTCCCCTCCTCGCGGCCGACCCTGTCCGCCATCCTCCCAGCAGGCTCTGAGTCCCTGTGACCAGAGGGATGCGGCGGCTGCGGGCGCTTCTCCCCACTGAAGTCGCCTTAAATGGAAAACCCTTGTTTCCTAGAGCTGGGTACCCCAGGCGCCCCCTCACAAACTCCCCCTGGGAAGGCTGCCATTTTCTGTCTCCTCTCCTTCTGCGGGATGGCTTTGCAGGGCAAGCGGGGGCACTGGTGTCCCTGTCCCAAGGTGTCCCAGGAGACTACCCCCCACCCCCGAAGAGCCAAGAGCTGAGACAGCCAGCAGCCTTGAGCATCCCTCACCCGCTGTCTCTCTCCGGATATGCTGTCCTTGGCCACATCGTCAGCCTTTAACCAGTCCTTCCTCAGGGGGTTCACCTGTTTCCTTGGTTTGTTCGTTCATTCCTGAACACAGCGCGTGTTTGTTGGGACAAGTCCTGTCCCAACCCCGGCCTTTCAAAGATGCCCTGGCCCTGTCCTCACAGGCCCTAGTGGCAAGAGGTGACTCTGGACGGTGCAGGGCGGGGGCCGAAGCAAGCCGCGGGCGAGCGCAGGGGCTGCGCGTCTCCCTGCCCGGGAGTCCCAGGCAGGCTTCCTGGAGGAGGAAGCAATGTCCAGGAGGTGCGGAGTCCTCTGACAGGGATTAAAACCAGGTTTACGTTGTGGAAAGATCTCTCTAGGAAAGAGACAAAACTGGAGGGACACAGAGCAGAGAGGAAATTATCTCAAGATTCGAGGTGACGGATGACAGGACCTTACGTGAGGGGGGTGTGGCGTGGGGGGAGGGGTCAGGAAGGAGTGGCCGGGCCCGGAAGGTCAGGAGGCAGAACGGATGACAAGAGGAAATGATATTTAGTGGGACTTTCACTCACCTTGCCTCGGTCGATCCTACCAGGAACCCTTTGCGGGAGCCGTTTTTATTGGCCTGTGGCTGAGGAGGAAGAGGAAACTCCAGGAAGCTTGTGAGCCCTCAGGGGTTAGCAACAGAACTGGGACCGCAGCCCAGGCTCTGCTGGCAGCCGGGGCTTGGATTCCGGGGATGGCACTAAGGTCCCACCACCCGCCGTCCCACTGTCTGCCGCCTGGCCGGCCCAGGGAGGTGGGAGAGCTTAGCGGGCGGGAGTGTGGGCTCCGGAGCCCGGCTGCCTGGCTTCCAGTCCCCGCTCCGCGGCTTCCTGGCTGTGCAATCCTGGTAAATTGCCAACTCTCTGTTTCCTCGTCTGGAAAGAGTGGAACAGGATAAGAATGGGTCTCATCTCGTGGGGTGGTCGCTCAGATGGAAGGATTGAACGAGTTACTAAACTGAAAGCCTGTAGCCTGGTTCCCGGGTTCAACATTTTAGCCCCCAGGGTGGCGAAGATGATGGCAGATGCTTTAGAACATCTGGACGGGCTCTTTGTCCCAGGGGAGAGCTGCTCGTCTGGCCTCTCCGTGGTCCTGGGGTTTGGGGCAGAGGCCAGGGCTGTGCGCAGTAATAAGGCAGCAGAAGGAAGCCTGCACGATGTTGTCGGCACCACACCAGGACACGCTGCCTGACGCGTAACGTGGGAGAGTAGGCCTCTTACCGTGCAGGGGGCACCAAGCGGACCCACCTAACGGTTGGTGCTTTCGGGATTTTGGCCAGTTTTCCCAGGCCCCAGTTCCCTGTGGGAGGGGCAGCTACCGCCCTCCTGGTTCCTGCAAGGAAGGGACAGCGGAATCGTTTGGCCTTCTGCCCATGGCTCTCTGTTGAGTGGGGAGAAGTGGGGAAGGGGATAGTGTCTGTCTATACCCGGAGCTTTTGTAGCTCAGAGCAAAAATGTGGCTTCTTCGTGGGGCATCAGCCTTACCAGAGGAGTTTGTGGGGGCGAGAGAAAGCCCAGGCTTGTATACAGATGTAGGGATGTCCTGCAGAGTAGAAGGCAAAGTCTGTTCCACTTAAAAATACCACCAAATATTTCATGAGGTCTCCAGGCTGTGGATGCTGTTTCCTGTGAAGGCTCCAGACCTCTGCGGTCTGCTCATTCTCCTTTGCTTTCTGGGTATTTCCACAGGAGGAAAAAAAAAAAAAATCTCACGAAGTCTGCCCTGCCTTAGAAGTCCTGGTTTTGCGCATCCTGTGTGGTGGTCTTGTTGGAGAGAGGGGATGCATGGGAGCTGGACGAGTTGGGAGGGCGCCCTTGGCCAGTGTTCTCTAATCAGATGAGAAATGGGAGACTCTGGTTATTAGGGTTTTGCATTCTCCTCTAGGCACTTAGCAGCCAAGGTTCTAACATGGCGGGGGGAGCTGGGTGAGTCTGGGGTGCGCTGGCTGGTGGGGAACAGGCACAGGGACAGCCCCTGCCCCCGGCTACCCTTCTTTGTAGGGCACAGCCGACTCCTGATGCCTCAGTCCCCATCACACATCACATGCAGCCTCCCCTGACGTCTTTCCATCAGAGCCTTGCCATCTGGTTCCCATAAACTTCGCTGTGCTCCGGGGACAGTGTGCACAGCGCCCCCCGCCCCAGCCTCTGGTGGTGACCTGCAGAGCGTGAGCAAACAGAGCACAAAGACGTCCAGGCTGGTAGTTTTCCACCTGGCTTGAATGGGCTCCAGGAGCCCGAGATGTGACCCAGGCAGCTCACCCATCGTGGCCCTTTGCTGTTGATGAGCCCGTGACCTTGTCCTGGCTCCTCACCTACCCGGCCTGAGTCTGCTCTTCACATGGATCCTGAAGGGGCTCACTGGGAGGTCTCTGGGATGCCGTCCAGCGCAGGCATCTGGACCACGAATCCAAGGGGAGGTGGGTGGCTGCTGTGGGGTCCCCAAAGAAAGGCGGGCTTTTCTACTCCCTGCCTGGCTCGGGCTCAGGACAGACTTACTGAATGGGCAGTCTGAGAAGGGTTGGTTGCAGGCCGAGCCTGGGTTCCTGGATGGGGGTAGGGGGTCCCTACAAAGGAATACACGCTGGCAGCTGTGGCCATGTCCTCTAGGCTCCACAGAGATGCCCCAAAGGCTCTGGCACTGGGTCACCAGAGGAAAACCTTTGTGTACATGGTCTGGCCAGTGGGGTGACCCTGTGGGGCAGGGCTGGGCATCTCCCTGGGCCACAAGCCAGTCAGCAGAGCAGAATTTTGTCTTCTGATGCAGGGCTTTCTGCTTCAGACACTGAAACTGCTCTAAGGACCATAGCGAGCATTTATGGCAATTTGGGAACCCTAGATAAAGGTGCCCCCACTGGGGCGGACCCAGTGCTGCAGGGAGCACATTTGTGCAAATTTACAAAAGGTGCTCCTTCCACCTGGCAGGTAGCCCAGGCCAGGGGTACAGCTTGGGAAACTAGCCCAGGCTGGATCTCAGTCCTACTTGCTCTTATTGGAGTTTGTTGTGCAGTGAGAAACCTAGGCAATTGGACGTGGCCACCCCATTCACTTCCTTCCCAAGTTTGCCAACACTCCTGTGTCATCCTCACGTTCCTTTACAGTGCCCCCTCCCCCATGTTTATCTTGGGCTATAAGAACCGGGGTGGCTCCAGGTGCCCCCGACTCAGGGATGGTTGGGGAAGGTGGGTTTCTGCTGCCCTCCTGGGGCTCCGATTCTGAAGGGCTCATCTCTCAGTAACTTAGGGGTACCGCCAGGCCGGGGGAACTGCCCGCTCACCATGCCCCTGCCTTTCGACCTCATCTACACCGACTACCACGGCCTACAGCAGATGAAGCAGCATATGGGACTGTCCTTCAAGAAGTACCGGTAGGTGGGTGCGGATGGGTGGTGCCCTGCCCCATGTCCATAGGAGGCCTCCCTTCACACCCTGCTGGCTAGCCCCCTGGGGTGGGGGGAACTGCCTCATCCTCGGTTCTGCAGTTGGGGGGGCGGGAGGCTTGCCCTGCCTCTGTTTTCCCCCTCCCTCATTAGTGTCCTTCCCCAAGGAGCTCTGCCTCCTGGCTGGCTCAGAGTGGGAGTCTCTTCAGTGCCCCTCTGCTGCAGGGCAGGCTGGGGCAGGGCTCAGAGGTTACCTGGTTGGGCAGGGGTACAGGGGAATGGCAGGGAAGAGTGGAAGGAATGGGACACTCGACTGGTGTGACCTCGGCTCATGGGGTCTCAGCACCCCCCTCCTTCTCCCTCCTTCCCCTCTCCCCCTTCCCCCCTCCCCGGGTCTGCAGGAAGGCCAGTGCCGTCTCTCCCGGTCTCTGCAGTCAGCAGGATGTGGGGTTTAATGCAGCACAGAGAGCCCTGCTCTTTCCTACATTTGCTCCAGTCCCAGTGACTACCCCGCGTGATTTTATTAGGTAAAAAAGTGACAGGCGGTATTATTGGTTTTATTATTAATGCGTGTTCCTCATGCACGCGGTGCCGCCGCCTCCCACCCTCCACCCCTTCTCTGGGGAAATAGTGCCGACCTCAGCAGTCTGTGGACAATTCTGGGTCACTGGGAAGGACGTGAGGCTGCTTGGGGCGGGGGGCTCTCTGAGTCTCCACCATTTCCTTCGGGTGCCTGCACCCGGGGGGTGAGATGGATGGAGGGAGAGGTTCTGGGGCAGAGACAGAGGCCCTGTCCAGCTGGCAGGTGCCTCTGAGGTGGCGGAGCTTTCATCCCAGAGGACACGTCAAAGCGCTGCCTGCCCAGAGATGGCAGTGGCTGGTCCCCCAGGGCCCTGCCCTTCCGCATCGCAGCCCAGATAGGCCAGGGGCATCCTGGGGTGCCAAGTTCTTGGGCAGGGGGGCTGTGAACTTGAATTACTGCTGCAGCATGCTCAGGAAAGTGCAAATCCTGCAAGGGGAAGGACCCCCACTCCAGGCAGTGCCCCTCCTAGGCGCTCTTGGGGCAGCCATAATAATAAGTTTCTGAGTGAGGGGTCCATGGTTCAGGCATCCCCACCCAACCCCGAGACAGCTGGGCTGTTGTCGTCCTCACGTGACAGATGCTGAAGCTAACTGTGGTCACACAGCTAAGTAGTCTGGACCCTGGCTCTGACCACACACTGCAGTACTGGGCCCATGCCTGGCAACCGCGCCCTCACTGGGGCAACCCAGCCCAGAGACACATGAGAGGTTACTGACCCTGGTTCCTCATGCACCGCCCACCCCCGGGTGGGGAGCAGGTGCCGAATCCGGGTCATTGACACCTTCGGGACAGAGCCCGCGTACAACCACGAGGAGTACGCCACGCTGCACGGCTACCGGACCAACTGGGGCTACTGGAACCTCAACCCCAAGCAGTTCATGACCATGTTCCGTGAGTCCTGGCCACAGGGCATGGGTGGGGTCAGAGGCAGACGACGGGGTGTCCTCGCGGTTCTCAGGTTCTCCTTCAAGCCTGGGAGGAGACAGAGTCTCCTGGCTCTCCTTCCCAGGCTGGCCCAGGCACCTGCCCACTCCAGGAAAGCCTGGCTTGCCCTTCGGCAAGTGTGTGAGCCAGAGAGGATGTCTCTTGCGGTGTCTGGGGAGCAGCTGGGGTGGTGGGGCTTCTGGCCTGGCTTAGGAGGAATGTGGCGACCTTTCCGCCATGGAAGGACGTGGCCTTGGCCTCCAGCATCACACGCTGCTCAGAGAGCTGCTGAGTGCACCTTCCAGGACAAAAAGGATTCGGTGACCTTGTAGCAAGAGAGGCCAGAGGTACACTGGAGAGCTCGAGGGGGCAGCAAAGGGGCAGGACGGGCAGGCTCTTCTAAGTGGAAGGAACAGATAAGTGGAGACAGATGCGGAAAGAACTGGAAGGTTCTGGAAATACACGAGCTCCAGCAGGCGCCAACACTGGATGCTGGGGAGTGAGGCTGGGGGCTGGGGCCCCTGTGGAAACCCTCTGACCATGGGCATTAGGCAAGGAATGCCGTTTAGAGCTGAGCTTTAGCTGTTTTTCACGAGTCTCTAAAACGTACACGGGCGCTGACTTGCCCCTCACGTGCAGCGCGCTGCAAATGGTTTAATCCTTTCTTGACAGCCAAGGGTCAGTTCTCGCTCTTTCCGTGGTGCGCGAGCCTGGCCTTTGGGGACGGCAGAGGTGTGCAGAGCCGGGTGCCCTTGCTAAGTGGCCCCTTCTCCTGTCACTGTTTGATGTGGTGCTTTTTCTCCTCGTCGGGAGGCTGTCAGCTGTCACATTTAATTGCCGTCAGTATATCTGCCTCCAGCAGCGTCCTGCACATCTAATTTGTGGCTCTTTGAAGGCTCCGGGTCAGAAAGCCAGATAAGCACATTTTGTTAGGATGTGTCTAAAGGAAGCCAACAAAGCAGGGTCCCGAGGAACTTGCTCAGAAGTAAAGAATCTGGTCTTTATTTAGCCTTTCAAATTAATGCGCCTCTGCGGGACACTTAGGGTCCTTCTTTGTCTTACTCCGCAGGTTCTAGGACCTCTTAGAGGCAGATACCATTTCTGGACCCATAAGTAATGGCTTGATTGGATTCCGGAAGGTTGGGGAGGTGGGCAGGTTCTTTGGAGCCCAGGGGAGGGCACTGAGTCCCAGAGGATGGAGGTCACATGGCTCTCTGGGGGACCCGACTCTGGAGGGAAGGAGGTGCGGTCAGGGGGGGGGGGGGATGCTCCAGGCTGTGGAAGCAGCTTATGTGACAGCAGAGAGCAGAGGTGGGCACACAGCTTGGCAGTTAGCTCACTTGCAAGGCGAGCATCGAGCTATGAGGCTGGCAAGAGGGACATGGAGGACGTGGGGGCAGACGTAGGGGTCTTCTAGCACCGGTTCCTCAATTTATGCCAAATACCGTAATTCAAGAATCACTGTAGGTTCTTGAGCTGGGGAACGTCATGGAGGAAAATGGTTTTTTTGTTTGTTTGTTTGTTTTTAAGATTTTATTTATCAATTTGAGAGGCAGTGGGGGTGGGGGAGGAGCAGAGGAGCAGAGGGAGAGGGACAAGCAGACTCCATGCCGAACGTGGAACCTGGTGCGGGGCTCAATCTCATGACCCTGAGATCACAACCAGAGCTGAAATCAAGAGTCGGATGCTCAACCGACTGAGCCACCCAGGTGCCCCGAGAGAAAGATTTTTGAGGCACATTATTCTGGGAGATTACAGATGGCCAAAGGGGCAGTGGTAGAGGAGGGGAAGCAGGAGAGGGGGTAAGAGAATTCTGCAGTAATCTACACTGAGAAAATGAGCACTTACGTGGAGTAGGGCCCACAGGATTTGGAGTTCCAAACCGGGCAAACTCCTACTCATCCTCCAAAACCCCAGTCCAAAGATCTCCTTTATTTCCTGCCACTTCCACGGATTCCCTCATTTGCTGTTGCTCCTTCACCTCTATTTTTATGCCTTTTAAATCAATTTCTATAAAAGTGTATGTTGAAGTATGTTAGAGCTATTTGCTTATACATTAATTCCACCCTGAGATATTATGAACCACGCAAAAGGGGGCACTGATTGATTTACCCTTATCTCCCTGGAGCCTATCAGGGTGCTCAGAAAATTTTAATTGATTGAATAAAGTAAAGAAACAGAACAAAAAAGGAAGAGAGAAGCTTGCCAGTTTTAATGATACACAAGTCCAGGAAGGAAGTCATGAGCAGACCTGCTTCCCCATCTACCCAGCATGGGCTCTCCTGTGGCCGAGACAGAAGCACGGGAGCGGAGCCACAGAGGGAGGGCACGGACCCCGTGCAGGGCATTTTCTTATCTAGGGAAAGGGAGGAGAGCCCTCCAGGCAGAGGGAACAGCAGGGGCAAAAACTTGGAGATGGGGAAGGAAGGATGTGTCCACCCATTCATGAGCTGGCATGCCAGGCTCTCCCAGGTGCTGGGGACGCAGAAGTGAGCGAATCAGAGGCCCTGCCTCCTGGGGCTTATATTCCGACACCAGTGAACGATCAATTAGATATGTGACATCATGTCTGGCCGGTGAACGGCAGGTGAGGGACAGAGGGTGACAGGCCCAGGGAGGACCCGAAAGCTAGCGTGTCTGCAGAGGGAGGGCACCCAGCAGGGTCTCGGGAGGGAGGAAGAGAGGCTGTCAGAGGGGGCGGTGGGGGCAGATCCTGTAGACTTGCAGGGACCTTAGCTTCTGGGTACCACGGCAGGGTTTTGTGCAGAAGGACCTGGTCTGACCTAAATCTGAAAGGCTTGCTCAGGAGAAAAGGCAAGGCCAAGAGAATGGCAGAAATGGGGGCAGGCAGCAGATCATGGGGGTCGGGACAGAGAGGGTGGTCCCCGGGCCGGGACATCATGATGGAAGAAGTCCCACCTGGGTAACACAGGTTTTGCTGATGGGTGTCGGCCATGAGAGAAGAGGGGAGGAGCCAAAGCCTTGGGCCTGAGCCAGCCTGGAGGATTCTGATGAAGGCAGGGTCCTGACTGTGCCTGTCTGCGTACAAGCAAGGGGGCCAGATGACCTCCAGGCTTTCCCTCGGCCTGAGGCTTTGTGACAGTCTCTGGGAACAGGAGATGCCCCGGGCTGGGGACACTGATGTGATGTGAGTTTCCGCCTCCTCCACCAGACCCCATACCTCCCAGCCCCCTGTCCCCATCCCTGTCACATGGGGCCCCCTCTGACGGGGCTGGTCCAAGTAGACCCGGGGCGTGGCCTTGGCTGTGCGGCAGCCCCCTTCCTGACCCCGTGGTCTGGCTGTAGCTCACACCCCGGACAACTCCTTCATGGGTTTCGTGTCTGAGGAGCTCAACGAGACGGAGAAGCAGCTCATCAAAGGCGGCAAGGCCAGCAACATGGCCGTGGTGTACGGCAAGGAAGCGAGTATCTGGAAGGTAAGCACGGGCCCCCCGGGAGCCCCCAACTCCAAGACCTGGCTCTGTCCACCACCCCCGGCTCTGGATTCCGAAATGTGCCCACTGATGGGTCAGAAAAGAGAGGTCCCTAATTGCCACTGAAGAGACCCAGCCAGAGGGCTGCTAACCTGCCCCCCCCCCACCTCTCGGCAACAAACCAGATGGATGTCCTTTAGCAAGGACTGTGACCTAACGTGCCACCCTCCCTGGGCTGCATCGATAAACACTGTGAGCCTGGCAAGGGGGTTGGGCTAGACTTGAGGCCTCTGAGGGCTGGGAGGCAGTGCAGGAGGCAGAACCCCACCTTCGGGGCGGGCTCCCTGCAGAAGTGGTGCCCCTGTGGGAGGTTGTGTGCTCACTGCTCACTGACCTGTTCTCTCTCCTCTTTCCTCTGTGCCCTCCCGGGAACGAGGCAGCTCCAGGTAAGGTGCCTGCCGGCCGCGCGCTCCTCCTGCTCCCCTCTGCTCTCGGTAGGCTGTCCCCTGACCCCGAGGGCTGCAGGGGGAGGGATAAGAGGTCATTCTCCCGTGATGCAAAAGGAGCAGGCTGCCGCGGGAGCCCAGGGCTCTGGGGAAGGTGTGGCATGGACTGTGTCTGCTTTTACTAGAAGGCTAAGGCACTGCCCCGAGAGAGCGAGAGGTTACAAAGTCTGGGAAGAGAAAGGCTTTATCTCTAGCTCAGGCATCTCTGTGACAGCCGGGAGCAACACTGTTCTGCAAGAGACCTCAAAGAAAGTCCTTCCAAAAAAAGACATCTTTGCTCTGGTCTTGGCAACTGGAGGAAGTCGGAGGTGGCCGGATGAAAAGGATGAGGGGAGCCTCCTGGGACCGAGCATCCCAGAGTTCAGGGGACCGGGTGGCAGAGAAACAGAGGAGGCAGGATGGTGGGGGTCCTCATGGGAGCAGCAGCTGGGATGAGGGCGAGTGTTTGGGTGAATTTTGTGCCAATGGAGGCCTGTCTTATTCTGGGTCCCCAGAAGGGAGGCCTTGAGGCTCAGGCCTGGGTGCTATTTTGTGAGAGCATGTGGCCCAGGGGGCAGGAGTGGGGGACGGGAGAGAGACAGACCCACCCTTGCTGCTGGAGGAAACAGGCCAGACATCAGAAGGGCCGTCTGGGGGGGGTCATGTGGGACTTCTCAGTTGGCGGGTCGCAGCCTGTGGATAAATTGTGAGATGAGCTCAGAGCTCTGGGTTTTTTTTCCCTAACCTTGCTGAGGTACAGTTGACAGGGAAAATGGTGTATTCTTAGGGTATGCAGCATGGTGGCCCGAGACACACATATATTGTGAAATGACTATCGTGATCAAGCATGATCGCCTCACACAGTCACCCGTGCATGTGCACGCATACATGCGCACGTGCGTGTGCAGAGAACCCTGAAGACCTATTATTCTCTCAGCAAGTTTCAAGTATACAGTACAGTATCGTTGACAACAATCACTGCGCCATTCATGGTATCCCTGAACTTAATCTTCATACGACTGAAAGTTTGTCCCTTTGACCAACCTCTCCCCATTTCCACACTCTGAGCCCCTGGCGACCACCGTTCTGCTGTTTCTACAAGTTCCACTCTTTCAGATCCCACCTAGAAGTGGGATCATGCCATATTTGTCTTTTTCTAACTTAGGGACTCTAGGTAAGCCTTTTAAAAGGAAGTAAAATATCAGAGGGAACATCAGAAGACCTCACATGTATTAAGAGTAAATATTGTTCTAAGATTTTATTTTTCTTAAATAATCTCTACACCCAACATGGGGCTTGAATTCACAACCCCAAGATCAAGAGTTGCGTGCTCCACTGACTGAGCCCACCGGACGCCCCAAGAGTAAATATTGTTTTGCGAAACTTGAAGTTTACATATATGCATACATGCACACACACTTTACATGCATACATACACACATACATGTGCATACATGCATACCTACATGCATGGATACTTGTGTGTATGGGTAAGAAAGGTTGCTGAACAGTATATCTAACATGAACCCATTTGTGTATGTGTTTTAAGGAAAATGTAAATATGCTTTGAATGCATTAAAGTTCTGAGAAGGTACACAAGGGGATAAGGAAGCTGATGTTGATGGGGTGTGGAGCCATTCTCTCCACACTTCACTTTCTTGGTTTGATTTTTCTTCTGTGAGTCTGTTTAGTTTTACACGATGTAGTCCTTTTACATTTAGTGTGATTTCTGATATATTTGGCTTAGAATCTACCATTTCCATTTCACTAGCTGATCTCTATAACTTTTTCTTGCCTCGTTCCATGTTCTTTCCCCTTTCAGGCATTCTTTTATACTGATCTGTATTTTGAAATTCACCCCCCTTTTTAGTGGGCTCATTATATTCTCTCCTAGTCTTGTGGTTGCTTCAAGAAAGATGACAACATGCATCCTTGACTTACCAAGTCTCGTGTAAATAATACCTTTCCCTTTTATTGGATAATAAAAGAACCTTAAAATGCTTTAAATACATTCCCCCAGCTTGTGTACTCTCATTTTATTTTGATTCCCTGAGAACGCCCTTACTTCATCCTTATTCTTAGTGGATATGTTCGCTGTGTACGGAATTCTATCTTGATGGTTACTTTCTTTCAGCATTATGAAAATACTCTATTGTCTTTTGGCTTCTGTAGGCTTGTTCCTTTAAAGGTAATTTGTCTTCTTTCTCTGCTTGCTTTTAGGACCTCTGTGTGTTTGGTTTTCAGTAGACTTATGGTGGTGTGCCTCCGTGTGATTTTCTCTGGATTTACCCTACGTGGCATTTGTAGATCTTTTTGAACCTGTGGTCTGATCTGTCATGAGTCGTAGAAAATTTTCAGTTAGTCTCTAAATATTGCTTCTGCTCCGGTCTTTCTCCTGTGCTTCTGGGACTCTGTTTCTGCATACATTAGACTCCAACACTTCCCATTGTCTCTTACGTTCTTTTCTGTGATTCCACTTTCCTCTATGCTTCATTCTGGATGTTTTGGTTTTTTTTTTTAAAGATTTTATTTATTTATTTGAGAAAGAGACAATGAGAGAGAGCATGAGCGAGGAGAAGGTCAGAGGGAGAAACAGACTCCCCGTGGAGCTGGGAGCCAAATGCGGGACTCGATCCGGGAACTCCAGGATCATGACCTGAGCCGAAGGCAGTCGTCCAACCAACTGAGCCACCCAGGCGTCCCCATTCTGGATGTTTTCTTTCGTTCTTTCACTAAATGAATTCTGTCCTCAGCAGGGTCCAATCTGCTGTGGAATCTGTCTGTTCAGTTCTTCATTTCAGCTACTGGATTTCTCACTTCCAGCTCTTCCATTTGGTTTCAACCCTTATCTTCTATTTCCTTGACTACATTCAGCAGATTTTTCTTGAAATCTGTATCTGGTAACTCCAGTTTCTAGATCTTCTGCGGGTCTGTTTTTATTGTCTGTCTCTTGGTTTTTTTTTTTTTTTTTTTTTAAGATTTATGTATTTATTTGTGAGAGAGGGAGAGACAGAGAGTATAAACTGGGTGAAGAGCAGAGGGAGAGGAAGAGAGAGAATCCACAAGCATAGAGCCTGATGCAGGGGTTGATCTCCTGACCTAAGATCATGACCTGAGCAGAAACCAAGAGTTGGCTGCTCAGCCAATGGAGCAACCCAGGTGCCCCTTTGTCTCTTGGGTTTTAATCACATTGTCATGTATCTGATTTGTCTAAAAATCAAGGTGTTTAAATTTTTTCTTTAAAAATCTATTTTTAGGGGCACCTGGATGGCTCAGTGGGTTAAAGCCTCTGTCTTCGGCTCAGGTCATGATCCCAGGGTCCTGGGATCGAGCCCCGCATCGGGTTCTCTGCTCGGTGGGGAGCCTGCTACCTCTTCTCTCTTTGCCTGCCTTGCTGCCTACTTGTGATCTCTGTCAAATTAAAAAAAAAATCTTTAAAAAAATCTATTTTTAATAGGCTTTCCTGAGATATAACTGATATACAGTGTACCACACGTGATTCAAATAAATGACTTAGAAGTTCCGACTTACACGTATACCTGGGAAACCGTCGCCCCAGTCAGGAGGGTGCGTCCACTGCTCCCAGGTTCTCTCTTCCCACCTCTCCCCTCCTCCCTGCCAGGCAGTCCACGATCTGCTTTCTGTTAACACAGTCTCTGTTTTCTACAATTTTATATAAATGGACTCATATGGTACGTACTCCTTTTTTGGTCTGGATTTTCTCAGAGTATAATTATTTCCAGATTCACCCGTGTCATCGCGTGGATCAGTTGCTGATTCCTTTCTGCAGCTGAACAGTTATCCCGTCGCATGGACTTCCATCGTATCCCACCGTGCCTTTTTTATCTGTTCTCCTATTAGTGGACGTTGGGGTTGTTTCCAGTGTTTGGCCGCTACAAATAAAGCTGTTATGAACATCCATGTACAAGCGTTTGTACAGACATATGCTTTCATTTCTCCCGGGTAAACACCTAGGTGTGGAATGGCTGGAGCATATGGTAGAACTAGGCTTAACATCCCAGGAAAAGCGGTTGCACCATTTTACGATTCTGCCAGCAATGTGTGAGAGTTCCGGTTCGTTACAGAGTCATCAATACTTGGTCCGTCTTTCCAGTTTGAGCCATCCTACAGACGTGCGGTGGCATCTTAGGGTTTCAACTTGTAGTTCCCTCTGACTAATGATGGCGAAGGTATTTTTGTGTGCTTATTTGTCTTCCTTATATATTTTTTGGGGTAAAGTGTCTTTTCAGAATGTTTGCCCATTTAAAGAATGGGGGTTGTTTGTTTACTTATTATTGAGTTGTTAGAGTTTTGTACGTATTCTGAGTATCAGTCTTTTATCAAATATATGCTTGGCAAATATATTCTGTCTGTGGTTTGTCTTTCTCTCTCTCTTTTTTAAGATTTTATTCATTTATTTGACAGAGAGAGATCACAAGTAGGCAGAGAGGTAGGCAGAGAGAGGGGGGAAGCAGGCTCCCTGCTGAAGCGGGGCTCGATCCCAGGACCCTGGGATCGTGACCTGAGCCGAAGGCAGCCACTTAACTGACTGAGCCCCCCAGGCACCCCTTGTCTTTTTCTTAATAGTATCGTTCAAAGAGCAAAGTTCTTCATTTTAATGGAGTCCACTGTCTTAAGGATTATGCTTCTGGTGTTGCATCTGAGAAATCTCTGTGTAACCCAAGCTCACTAAGGATTTTCCCCCTGTGCTTTCTTCTGTAATTTTTATGGTTTTACATTTCACATTTAAGTCTATGGTCCATTTTGAATTAAGTTTTATGTATGATATGGTAGAGATTGAAGTTCTAATTCTTTTCCCTTTTTTGCACACGGATACGCAATGTTCCATGACCATCGGTTGAAAAAACTACCCTTTCTCCACTGAAATGTCTTTGCACCTTTGTCAAAAATCAATTGACCATGCGCGTGTGGGTCTATTTCTGGACTCTGTTCTTTTGCATTGATCTCTCTGTTTTGATGCCAGTAGCACACCGGTTTGATTCCTGTAGTTTTAAAATAAGTCTTGAAATCAGGTAATATAAATCTGCCTGCCTTCTTCTTTTTCACAAAGTTGTTTCTTCTAAGCCTGCTGGGGTTTTGATTGTGATTTCATTGTTTTTTGTTGTGTTTTGGAGCTCTGGAAAATGAATATAAGAAAGTGTAAAACAGTTTGGGGACGATGCCTTCTTCCTCTGGTGAGGATTTCACTTTCAATCTTAGCCTGTGTTTGGGGCTACAGCAATCTTGCATCACAGAATCAGTGATAGGGATTAAGACTATTTAAAACCGATTAAAAAGCCTATTAAAAAGCCCCTGGGGCGACTGGATGGCTCCGTCAATTCTCTGTCTCTTAGTTTCGGCTCAGGTCCTGTTCTCAGGGTCCTGGGATCCAGCCTCGTGTCAGGCTCTGCACTCAGTTCGGAGTCTGCTTGAGTCTCTCTCTCCCTCTGCCCCTCCTGCTTGTGCTGTCACTCACTCTCCAAAATAAATAGATTAAAAAAAAAAAGACCCCCCTCCCCCCACACACACAGATTCAGCCTCTTTCCGGGCTTCTCTAGGTCTGGCTCACCCTTTTTCTTCCAGCGTGAGTTTCCTCAGAGTTCCAACCCACAGAGTGTGGTTTCCATCTGGGTCCCCTCGGCAGACCCTGAACCCTCACTTGTCCTCCAGCTCTACAAGGTGACCAGAAGCTCAGTCTCCTTGATGCTGACCCAGGGATCAGCAGGTGCCTCCCAGGGGGGAAGCGCTGACCCCAGCACCAGCCTCCACGATCTCCTTCCCTTCTTCTCCCAGATCTCGGCCTTGTAATTCTTCCAGCTTTGTTAGATTTTCACTGCCTTCACAGAAATTTTTCTGTTTCCCTGTCTCTCCTGGTGGTTCTCAGAGGCAGGACCCATCTGCATTACCCAGTACACCCTTACCCACCGAGGAAGGCCTCCTTGTGAAAAACGTATACAGTTGGAATTTCAGAATGTGAATTGGTCCTTACTCTCATGTCCATTCAAAAGCTGTGGTTTACAGACTGAACCTGGGCCGAAGCTCCTTGTTGTCCGACCTCCTGGCTAGCCGGCAGAACAGGGAGAACCTGGCTGCTTTTCTCCTGACCTGTTGGTCTGCTCCGGACTAGCCCTGAGGAAACCGCTCCCCGCCACAGCCTCCTCTGTGATCTTGAAGTTCCTGTCTTGTCCGTGTATCCCTTCCTCTCTCCTGTGAGTCTCAAAAGGCCCCAAAAAGTAGAACCCCGTGGCAGACCCCAGGCTTACCCCTAATGAGGACCTACACTGCCCACAGCTCCTGGCTCAGGGCTCTGGCCATGGGGTCAGACGGGTGCCCCAGGCGGAGCTGTCTCTTCGTCTACGCTCTGCCTCCCGTTGTCCCCGAGTCTGGATGTGCGACTAGAGTCTGGAGGGGCTGAGCCTTTTCTACTTTGGGGGGTTTTCGCTCACGGGTGTCCTTCTTAAAGACAGGGGCTCCTTCTTGTCCCAGCTGTGCTCCCAGCCGTGAGCTCAGTGCCAGCCCCTGGCAAGTGGTTAATAAAAATGTGCTACATGGATGGGGGGAGGGGGAGAGAAGGGATGGTGGATGGAGGGAAGGAGGGGATGAATGGACAGGTGGGGGGATGGGCAAATGCATGGATGGAGGGATGGAGGGACGGAGGCATGGATGAGATGATGTCGGCCCCACAGCTCCTCGGGTGGCCTTGGGGATCACCAGCGCTTCAAGGGGTCCAGCAGCTGCGTTTGGAGGCATTTGCATATGGGTCCTCCTAGGATTTCTTTGCAAAGAAGACAGTTCCATGGCTAAAAATTGTCTAGTCCGACCTCTGCAACTCGCGGATGAAGAAAATGAGGACCAGAGAGGGGAGGGGCCTTGCCCAGGGTCACGCAGCTGGCTGAAGGCCGACCTAAGAACCGCCCCACGTTTTCCGAGTTCCAGACCGGGGTGTTTCCGTGGGCAGCTCTGCCTCCCACGGTTGGGGCGAGGCTCCCACTGCTCCCCCTCCTCTTGCAGGGGAAGGAGAAGTTCCTGGGCATCCTGAACAAGTACATGGAAATCCACGGCACCGTGTACTATGAGAGCCAGCGGCCCCCTGAGGTCCCCGCCTTCGTGAAGAACCACGGCCTCTTGCCACAGCCCGAGTTCCAGCAGCTGCTGCGCAAGGCCAAAGTGAGCCCCGCGCCCTCACCGTCCTCCCCCCAGCCTGGCCCCAGACGCCGAGGAGGTCGCCCTACGTGCCCCACTCCCCGCCATGCCTGCCCCTGAGGCTCGTGGCCCCTTCCACGTGCAGACCTGCCCCAGCATGTTCTCCTACCCTGAGCCTCACACCCAGCCCTCCTGGGGCTGGAGCAGAGCTGGGGGTGCTCACCCAGGAGGGACCTGGGCAGGGCCAGCAGAGCCGAGGCTCAGCAGTAGGGAAGAGGAAGTGGGCTGCCGGGCGGACTCCTGGGCCGGGCCCAGCTTTCGGAACCGCTGAAGGGCTGGCAGGGCCGGCTGAGGGCGTGTCCCACCTGGAGTTGCACGGGGCTGCTAGTTCTGCTTCTGGAAGTCCTCCGCTGTGTTCCTGGAGCTGCAGCTCCGGGCACGGGGTGGGGGGCGCGTGACTCTGCTGCAGGCCCCGAGGGGTCAGCTGAGGCCGGAGGGGCCTCCGGCCAGCATTCAGGTCCGCTCCTGATCTAGCCCTAGCCCTTTCCTCAGGCTTCCTTGGTGTGTGCATATGTGTGTTGGGACAGGGGGAGAGGCTTTGTGCAGTGAGCAATCTGAACAACGTGACACAGCAGCCCGGCATTCGGAGTCGTCTCCTGACTGCTTTCCAGGCACCAGCCCTGCGAGCACTTCTGGCACGAGTTCGGTGCTGAATAACCTTTTTTAGGATGAGTAAAGTCCTCTTGAGTTCAGTGGTAGGTGTGGGTCTGAAATCTTCTGAGCTTGAGACCCTCACTCTTCTCCCTTCACCTCCAGAATCACAGTCGGCTAGAGCAGGAAGAGGCCCCGATATTACTTAAGCAGACCTCATTTCACAAATGGGGAAACTGAGGCCCGAGAGGGGAGGGGCCTGCCATGGTACCCTGCCGGTCTGGGCAGTCTTTTCTGCCCTGGCGGCCTCCCGTGAATGTCCCAGGCCTGGCTTCCTGGGGCTCTGGTGCCAGACTTCCCCGACCATCGCACCATTTTCCTTCCTCAGCTCTTCATAGGCTTCGGCTTCCCTTACGAGGGCCCCGCGCCCCTGGAGGCCATCGCCAACGGCTGTGTCTTCCTCCAGTCCCGCTTCAGCCCACCCCACAGCTCCCTCAACCACGAGTTCTTCCGAGGCAAGCCCACCTCCAGAGAGGTGAGTGGGGAGGGTCTGAGATGGGGACCCCGTAGTCCATGGAAGGGGGAGACAGGCAGGGGGGGAAGGGATGGGGGGACAAGGTGGGCGGGGGCGCCTCCCCTGAGCGCGGGCCGGCCTGGCAGGCGCAGGGAGAAGCTGCTGCTCTCTCCGCCCGGCCAGGTGTTCTCCCAGCACCCCTATGCAGAGAACTTCATTGGCAAGCCCCATGTGTGGACTGTCGACTACAATAACTCAGAGGAGTTCGAAGCAGCCATCAAGGCCATCATGAGAACGCAGGTGAGGCTCAGATCCAGTCAGGACTTCCATAAACCGCTGCTGGGAATCTTAGCTATAATTAGAAAAAGAGGCCTCTCCCGGTGAATTCAGACTCTCAGGCCTGGGTTGGCATACTTGATAGGGGGGCCCCACTTACCAGCTTGCATTTGGGGGTGGGGGGAGGGAGAGACAGGGAAATGCCTTTGTGCCGTGAGCGACCTGCACAACCTTACATGGCAGCCCTGGATCCAGAATCATTTATTAAGCACCTTTGGAGGCTAAGCCCCATGGGCACTCCTAGCACAAGTTAGATGCTGAGTAAATGTTTCCAGAATCAGTGCGTGGAGGTTCTTGGGACTCTGCTGCTGGTGTGGGTCTGTGGCCTTTTGGCCGCGTATCTCAAACCATGTATGTGCATACAGGTCATCTGGCGATCTTGTTAAAATGAAGGTTCAGAATTCAGCAGGTCTGGGGTGGGGCTGAAATCCTGCGTTTCTCTGTAGCTCTGGGGTGGTGCCAGGCCTAGGACCACCCTTTGAGTAGCAAGGGGGAAGAACTTTCTGGGTTTCCTTAAGCAGGTATGTGAGCGTCGGCAGGTGCAGGTGTGTGGGTGGGGAGAGGGTGAGGAGGGGCTGGTGCAGCTTGTCTCCTCGGCAGGCCCCTCTGTGGCTTCTGATGGCCCCTCGTGCTCTTCTGGCTCCTTCATTTGGGAAAGGGGACAGACCATGTAGATGGCGCTCTACTTGCCACGATCCCTCTGGACCCGCCTCTTGCTGTAGAGGCTGAAAAAAGATAACCAGCCCTGCGGGTGTCCCCTTCCTTGCCCAAGCCCATGTTCAGGGTGTGTGTCCTCCCGGGGAGTGGGGTATGCACCGCTCAGGGTGAACTTCTGGGTCTGGGGCAGACCTGGAGAGCCTTGGTCTCAGCTGGGCCGCCACAAGTGAGTAACCTGATAGGCTCCTTCTGCAAAGGAGAACCACTCCCCAGGAGGCCACAGCTGGCCAGCGTGTCTGCTGCCCCAGGAGAGCTGGGGCCACTGACAGGCTCACAGGCAGAGACTAGCAGGGATAGACACCCCGCAGGGGGACTTATGGGCTTCACTTTGAGCCCAGAGCCCCTGCCTGGTTGTCCTGACCCTGAGGCAGGCTTGCATTTTTTTCTAACAGCCCCCTGCATTCTCTATCACTCACTCCCACTCGGAACCCCCAGCCTGGGCCCCCACCCCTGCAGATGTCCCCAGAAAATCCCGACCTACCTCATCTGCTCCCTTCCTCCCCTGACCACACCCTCATCCTTCCGTCCTTCTGTCCGGGGCTGAGGGTTTGTCTAGCTAAGTGCCCAGAACATTGCTGTGTCAGAGCCTCCGCCCATCCTTAGCTGTGACGGACAGGGACATGGCCAGGTTGGCCTGCGGAGTGGCTGAGCCCCTGGACCCCCCCGAGTGGTGGGGGGTGCCCTCCACTCCTTAAGCATCAGCTTGAGCAAATCTCTACTGTGAGTTCTTCCAGGTCACCGACTGTCTTAGACTGGGTTTCTGCCGGCAGTGACCCCGAGGCAGATGCCATTTATTTGAGAAGTGATCCCAGCAAGGAGGGTCCTGGAGTGACAAAGTGAGATGCTGTGTTATGGAGTAGGTCACCTTGGCCGGTGGCACCTGGCGCTCAGGGCTGGCCGGGACGGATGGGGTTGGTCACATCCCAGATTGTCGTACCTGAGGATCGAGTAAACCCGGATATTTATCCCCAGCTCCATCCATCACTGGCAGAGGGCTGCACCTGGGGACCCTCGCTGGGCTGAACAAGGGGCTCTCCGGGTGGTCTCGGTCCAGGAGATAGAAGCCACCACCCACAGCTGACCAACCCCAGCCCCAAGCACATAGCACGGAACATCCCAGGTGGACGCTGCATCGGGAGGCCCCCAGCAAGGCAGACGGCTACCCGGGAGGGACCCCCCACCCCACATGCTGCTCCAGCTCCTTCTGTCCTCCCACTGAAGAGCAAACATCCGAAGCTTCTGTCCCAGGGGACAAGGATGGGGTGGAGGGTTGGGGGATGGATGCGAGACTAGCAAGGCTTCTGCCCACCCCCAGGGCTCAGGTGTGGCCCAACAGATCTCAACAAGATCTGTCGCTGAGCTAAAGGAGCAAGATACCTGGTCCCATGGGGAGCATGTTCCAGCCTCAGAACACAACGGGGCTGCAGAGGGGCCTGCAAGGGAGGACGCCCGAGCCTTCGCTCGCTCATTCTTTCTGGTCTGACGCACGAGAAGTTGCTGACAGCGGCTGCTCTGGGGACAGGCCTGGGTGTCTGGGTGGGAGGAAACTTAATTTTCATTGGTTTTCCTTTGGATTTTTTTCCCCATGAACATCTGTTTAATTTTGTTAATTAGTTGCTGTAAAAATGACAATAACAAAAGGGTCAAGGACCAAGGTTTCCAGGTCTGCCAGGCTGAGACTTGTAGGCGGGCCCCCGACCGGACGCCCCGCTGCCTTCAGCCCCCTCAGGGGTCCCACCCTTCCTCCTGGGCAGTTTACCCCGTTACCCAAGAGTCACCCAGGAGGTCATTACAATGCGGGTCCTGGGCCCGTCTTCTGATTTTTAAAGATTTTTTTCTGAGAGAGAGAGAGCACGAGATGGGGAGGGGGAGAAGCAGGTTCCCTTCTGAGCAGGGAGCCTGATGCGGAACTCGATTCCAGGACCCCGGGATTATGACCTGAGCGGAAGGCAGAGGCTTAACCGACTGAGCCACTCAAGCCACCGAAGCACCACCCCTTCTTGTCTTCCCTTTTAAAGGACGGGTGTGGCCTTGGCATCTGCATTTTCAACAAGCAGCCGGGCTGCTCTCATAATCCCATTTTAGAGAACCGATTGAGGGCCCCCATCAGGGGACACAGCTCGTTCTGCAAGTCCTGGGGCCTTTCAATGGGGAGAGGGAGGAAGAAGGACGAGGCACAGAGAGGAGCTGGGAGAGACCCCCTGTCTCCCGACTCAGGGGTAGGTGGCTTTGCCGCTGACACATCTCTGCTAGGGAGGGGCTGGGCCCGCACCCGCCCCCCGCCCGACTCATGACTCTGCAGGGCCGGCACCTGCCAGCCCGTCAAGACTGATTACTGTGCATGCCTGTAACGGGGCCTAATGAGGCTGATTTCCAGGCAGGCCGGTTCCTCCGGCGGGAATTCATGGCGGGTGGGACGTGGCTGGCTGATGTGATGTGGGCTTCAAAGCCCAGGGGGAGGGCATGGGGGAGGGAGTCACTGGGGTGGGGAGGGGGGAGGGTGCCGTGGAGCAGGCAGAGTGACATTTGGAGGGGAACTCTCTGCTCTGAGGGGTTATCTATAACCGGGCCTGGAAGTTGGGTACCCCAGAGGTGTCCAAGGCTCAAGGGCACCAAGGGCACCAAGGTCGGGAGCCAGCGGTGCACAGTGCAGGGCTGGAAAGGCCACCCGGTGGCTGGGCTGTGCAGTGGTGGCCGGATGCAGGACCTGGGGTTCTCTGGGAAGGGGGAATCCCTCTCGGATTAAGAATGGCCGCTCACAGTGGGAACTGGGGACAAAGCCACAGGGCTAGGCTCTTGTCCTGAGAATCGTCTGGTGGCCTGAACCTATTTCAAGGGGAGCCTCTCCCCAGCCTGAGGGTCAGGGATGCCCCTAGGCAGAGAGCCTAGGATGGGCCTCCAGCCCTTCAAAGTGGGGTCTGCTGGAAGCAGGGCCGGCCGGCACACCTGACTGGGCCTCTGATGCTGCTGGGCTCTGCAGAGGGGGAGGGAGGCCACGCCCACTTGGGCACAAGTGTTAGTCACACTCCCCGGGCTGCTGGTAGGAAAAGGGCATGAATCGGGATCGGGCTGGACCAGGTGGGGGGCCCACCCCCACGCATACCACATGCACACAGATACGTACACACAGCACATACATACACACAGACATAGATACATGGTATAAAGGCACATGGATGCACAACACGTACGCACATGTACACACGTGCACACGTGTATACACACACACGCACGTGCTCTGGGGAAAAGGGAGGGCAAAGGCCCAGTCTGAGTCTGGGGTGGGTCACCCCTGCGTCCCTGTCCAGCTGTGTGGCTGTGTGCCGGGTGGGGTAAACAGGGAGGGGTTGGTCAGGTAAGAAGAGTGCAGAGGAGATGGGGTAGCCGCTCACAGGAGGTGGACGCCCCCTTTCACACGTCTCCCCATTCCCCTTGCCCCTGGGCCCCCAGCTCCTCCAGCCACCAGCTCCACAAGGCAACCTGTGGCTCCCAGCCACCCCCAGTGCCGGCGGCCGTGTGACTGTCTGTGGCCTCCGCTGGGGGCACATGTCTCAGGTCCTGCCAGGTGCCTGGCTTGGGCAGGAAGACTTACGGATTCATCTCATTCCATCTGCGGGGAGATGCCCATGTGTTCCTTCTCGTGAAGATTCTACGTTCTGGGCAGCTCATGGGCAGAGCTGGAGATGCTGTTTCCTGAGCACCTACTGCATACCAGACACTATGCCTGGCAGTGGGCTCAATGGTAGATGAGCCAAAGTCCAGTTCTCAAGGGACCTGTAACCCGGGAGACACGAGGGTTAAATCAGAAACGGTGATACAGGTGCTGGAGGAGTTCTCGGATGCCACGAAGGAAAGTGGTCCAGTAACAGGGGTGTGGCTGGGGCTCAGGGACGGCTTCCTGGGGGAGGTGTCACCTAAGTGGGGGGCAGGGGGAATCCATCTGGTTGGCTGTGGGAAGAGCAGGCATCATAGCCCGGGAGGGGATGGGAGCTGAGCTTTAGGGGAAGCAGAGGGTGGCTAGGAAGGGGGCAGGAGGGAGTGGGATGACTCCCAGGGCCACTGGAGGGTGTACCAGAGGTCCACGTGGAGGGGCCGGGTAGGGGGTGACAGACTCCCTAGGCACACCAGATTCCCGCCCCCAATGCTGAGCGTGGCCGGCCCCCAACAGCCAGGTCGAGGGGGGCCCGGGGCGCCTCCTGCCCCATGTGTCTGCCCATCTCTCCTACAGGTAGACCCCTACCTGCCCTACGAGTACACCTGTGAGGGGATGCTGGAACGAATCCATGCCTACATACAGCACCAAGTAGGTGGGCCCTCTGCTCTCTGCTCCAGGAATGAGGGGGGATACCTCCAACTCCATCAGACCAGAGGAGGGGGCCTAGCCAACTCGATTGTCCGAGGAAGCTCTCTCCCCCAGGGCTCTGTGCCCCATAAACTCCTGCTCCTCTCCACCTGTTTCCATTCCCCTGGAGACGCCTGGGGGTGGGGCTGGAGGTGGAGGGCGGTCCTGCTCTGCTCCTGCTTGGAGACCAGGCCTGGGGGGCGGGGAGGGCGCTGGGTCACTGATCTAGGACCCAGCCCCATACCACAACACAGAAACGACAAGACTTATTTTGATAAAGAAGTTGCTTAGAAGTCTGTTACGGGATTGAGTGGCCGGTAGGTATGGGAGGCCCCCACTCCTTCCACCTCCAGGGATGAGCAGTGAGACTGGGGTGGGGTGAGGGCTCCGCTGGGAACCCAGGGGAAGGGGCCGCCAGAGAAGCCCCACCTCCCCCTCCCTGCCAGGGGATCTCAGGCTCTTCCAGGCCTGGGGCTTCTGGGGCTGATGGCTGGGCCACGGGACTCGGTGTGGGTGTTTCCTAACTGCTTGATATTCAGCCTGTGGCCTGTGGCCTGTGTACCTTGTCCCCAACCTCAAGGGCTGAAGAGCGGTTCTAGACCATTGCTTTACAGACAGGAAAACTGAAGCCCTCCGCAGGGAGGGTTGGGTGGGATCAGGGCCAGAGCCCGGGATCTCGGCCCCCCCCCGCCAGCCGCAGGGATGCCGTCGTGACGCCCACGGAGACACTTGCTGGGCCCCGCAGGTGCTTCCTGGGGCTGAGCCCTGCAAGGAGAGCCCCTCCAGTCGGCCCCGGCGCCCCTCCTCAGCTAGGGCACGGGGGCCTCAGTGTAGAAACTCTGCCCCTAACTTAGCGGGATCCGCAGTGAGGCCGTGCAGGGCGGGTGGCTCTTGGGCTGGCCTGAGTTCAAATCCTGCCTCTGCCCTCCAGCGGTGTGGCCCTGCGCAGGTGACCTCTCTGAGCCTCCGCTTCCCCCCGCCCCCCGCCCCGTAAGGTAGCTGGAGACACACTAGTGCACTCCCGGGGGGCTGCTTCGAGGAACAGACCGCATCACGCGTGGCAGGCCGCCCGGCTCTCAGTCGGCTCCCAGCGCGCCATGACTGCTCTCGTGCCCCCGTCAGCCAGTGGCGTCTGGGCCCCCTTTCCCGGCTGACGCGGCTTTCCTCCTGCCAGGACTTCTGTGCAGCCTCGAGGCCTGCCCCAGCAGCGGCCCGAGCCCCACCCAGCCCCTTCGTTCTGGCCCCCAACGCCACCCATCTGGAGTGGGCCCAGAATGCCAGCTTGGCCCCCGGGGCCTGGCCCCCGGCACAGTCCCTCCGGGCCTGGCTGGCTGCTGCTGGGAGGGCGTGCACGGACGCGTGCCTGGACCACGGGCTGATTTGCGAGCCGTCCTTCTTCCCCTTCCTCAACAGCCAGGACGCCTTCCAGAAGTAAGTGAGACCCCCCTGCCCCCCGCCCGCCTTCCTGGGCCGGCCCAGCCTCACCCACCCGCAGCATCTCACCCTGCGGCTGCTGCCTGCAGCCCTGCCGGCGGTGGGGGCTTCATGCTCCCCGACGATTCAGGAAGAACCCAGAAGGGACCTTCCAGTCAGGAGTCCTTGTCACGGACTCAGCCCCTGCTGGTCCCTCCCTGGCCTCTGCCTAACCTGTCCCAGCATCTTCTAGGCCCAGGGTTCCTCCCAGCGGGTCAGCCTGCACCCAGCCCAGCCCCCCTCCTGGCCTCCTCCCTCAGAGCCGGGAGAAGGAGCTGCGGCCCAGAGTTTGCCCTGGTGCCTCCTAGAAGCTTCTTCCCTGCTTGGGGATGGGAGGGGTCAGGGAGGGCAGGGGGCGGCCCCAGGCTGCGGCTGTGACCGCTGCCCATGGCGCCCGTCCAGGCTGCAGGTGCCCTGTGACAGCACCGAGTCGGAGATGAACCACCTGTACCCGGCCTTCGCCCAGCCCGGCCGCGAGTGCTTCCTGCAGAAGGAGCCCCTGCTCTTCAGCTGTGCGGGCTCCAGCACCAAGTACCACCGGCTGTGTCCCTGCCGAGACTTCCGCAAGGGCCAGGTGGCCTTGTGCCGGGACTGTCTGTGAGGCCGCCCGCCCGCCCGGCTCCCGGCCGCAGGAGGAAGCACCAGCAGATTCTGAGCTCCAGCGACGGGCCCTCCCCGCGACACCCCGGCGCTGGGGCTTCCTTCCATGGCCAGGAAGCGGGCAGAGCAGACTCATGCACGGAGTTAGGGGCTGGCTGCGTGCCCACCCCAGGCAGGCTCCTTGACATCGTCCGGGGACTCGTGGCAGCGTCGTGGCCAGGCAGCTGTGGGATTGGTCAGAGAGCCCTGGGGCAGGAGCAGGTGGTCGGAGGCCAATTCTGGACCAGACTGAGGGCCCTGGGGATGGGGACTCAGAATGTCCGTGGAGGGAGCAGGGGCGAGGTGCCCGATGGCTCACCGAAGGGTCCAGGGGGCGGGGAGTGATGCGTGGGGGTCAGTCTTGTCCCTCTGTGGTTGTTCGGGTATGGACAAAAGGGACAGGGACTGGAGGACCCTCTCAGCCCCACCCCTCCTGCCTTTGCAGTCTGCCCCTCCTTTCTATACTTGGGGGGGCGGAGTGGGGGCCACCTAGCCCCTGGGTTGAACTCTTTTTCTCCCCTGCTTGGTCCAGCTCTCTCCACTCGGGCTCCTCCCGAAACTCATCTTGGCATGACTGCGATTCCAGGATTTGTCCCCAGAACCTCTGTCCCTGCCCCAGCAGGCTCTGGACGCTGCCCCCATCCCCCCAGGCATCTCGTGTAGGCAAAGGCTTGGGATGGAGCTTCGGCCCCATGGCCCGCCCAGCCCAGCTCCTGGCGTCCCAGACCCACTAGCCCCCAGGTAGCCCCCACCCCCTCGATGCTGCCCGTCCCCACCTCCAGCTTCCTCCAGCCTCAAACTGTCATCTCTGTGTGGCATGCCTGCCCCAGCCCCAGGATGCCCCCCTCCCCTCCTCCCCATGCCCAGAGCCCTGCCTGATTCAGCGGGTCAGGCCTTCAGAGACACTGCCACCCCATCCCGTTTTATAATCCCACCCGCCCTCACCAGGCAACCCCCTCCCCCAGGCCTGCCCCTCCACCCTGCCAGGGAGGCAGCGCAGGCCCTGAGAACTGGGAGAGGGGAGCCAGCCCTCGCAGGGCTGAGGCGGACACACTCCCACCCAAGACCCCTCTCTGGGCCTGGGTGGCCCCTTCGGCCGCAGAAACTCAGTGGTCACCAAGGACCTGACCTGTTGGGGGAAAGCAATAGAGACACTCTTTTCTCTCTCTTTTTTTAAAGATTTATTTCTTGAAATAATAAATATTTTATTGGGATGTGAGGTGCAGAGGACATGTGTGCTGTTTTCCATCTTTTCCTGGGCCGCCGCGGGTTGAGGGGGCGGCTATCTTGGGGACCCCGGCCCCTGCTGCATGTTGTCACGCGGCATGCACGGGATGCCTGGGTCAGGCTGCCCAAGGGCTGTGCCTGCGAGCCACCGCCCACCCCTGGCGCCATGGTTCCAGGGACCCTGCTTGACGAGCTGCGCTGTCCCCCGTTCTGTTCCCCTCGGGCTGGCCTCTGTGAGGTCAGAGAGCACAAATGTATTTTGATAAGAGCCTGAGCCAGGTCAGGCTGAATCCTTGCCAACGCTTACCGGGCGCTGACTGTCCTTCGGACACCGGGCTGAGAGCTGGACACACAATGTGTCATTTTATGCGTTCGGCCGTCCTATCAGGTAGGTACTGTTCTATCCCCTCTACAGTAGAGAAAACGGAGGCACAGAGAGTTTAAGCAACTTGCCTGAGGACACACAGCTTGTGAGCAGTGAGGTGGGGTAGGGGGGTCGTTTCAGAGTTGCCGTGAGGATCAAATGACCTGACAGGGTGACAGCCCAGCCTGGGGTCCCACCTGCAGCCTCGCGGACAGTGCTCTGTGACCGTCTGTGAGCCGGGACTTCCTTCCGTCTGGGGTCCTGCGCGCGATGCTCCTGCAGCCCGGGGTCTGGAGCACGTGGCGCCATTCGGTGTTGCATCTATTTCTAATTGATTTTTCATCTGCAGCCCCTAACGGCAGCCGACGCGGAGCATCTTGTCACAGGCTCACTTGCCATCTGCAAGTCCCCTGTGAGGCGCCTCTGCCGCTCTTCCCCGCAGTTCTTAATCAGCTGCTGGTTTCTTATCGTTGGGTTTTCGGTGTTCTTTGCATAGGGGCCTACTTCTGAATCCTGGCGGGCTTTGAACTCAGCTGGCGTGGGGGCTGGTACGGGGAGAAGCAGAAGCAGACCCCAGATGCCTGGGGGAGGCTGTGGGTTCTCTGTCCTGACCTCCTGCACCGGCGCCAGTCCCCGCTTCTTCAGTGTGCTGCCCCCCCCACAAACACACTGCTGAACAGCAGAGGAGAGAATAGGCCCAGGCCGACCTCTCCCCCACCTTGCAAGGTGATGTCATCCTCCCCCAACCCCTCCCGGCTTACAGGGGACATAACAGGTCCCACGAAGTCCCTCACCAGCCTGTGGTTGGGGTTAGCCTCTGGAATCACCTGGGGAGCTTCAGGCACCCCCACATCCAGGCTGTCCCTAGCCCCATGAAACCGACAGCTCAGAGCAGGGCGGGGCCGCTGAGGTTTTAAAAAGCTCTCCTCCAGGTGTTTCTACTGAGCATCCGATGTGAGCCACTGGGCTGACATCCAGACGGGGTAGCTCCTCTCTGCTCCCCAACCTCCCAGCTCGGCTTTTAGAGGGTCTGATCAGGGTGAGGACCTGCTAGCATTTGAAACCCTGCCCCTCCCTCCACCTCGATGGCCCAGGACCCATCAGCGGGGAATGAGAAGGGAGGAGTCCAGGTCTAGCCTGGGGCAAAGCAGGCACAGAGGCCTCAGCTGACTCCAAGACAGTCTCCAGTTCAAGGGGAGGAGGGAGCGCTGGGAGGTTGTTGACCATCACCGTCCCTCCCGGAACTGGGAAGGCTGGAGGGGGGTGGAGGAGGCAGGTGTAGGGAGTGAGTCGGACAGTTAGGGAGTCAGGGCCAGGGTCCCAACTAGGAAATGCGGAGTCAGGACAGCTAGGATGGAACAGCACGGAAGTCCTGCTTTGCAGCTTAGATGGGACCGCACTGACGTTCTGCTTTGCAGCCTTTGCAGAAATGACTTCTGCAAAACGTCCTAAAATAAGACCATTAAGCACAAAACCATTTGTCAATATCACAGGCAAGAAGCAGGTAAGACCTAAGCCCCCAGATATTAGCAAAAAAAAGACCATTAGCACGTGGACACGAACCTAATAGGTAGAGAAATAACGTGACCAGAGCCCTGATTGGCACGACTCAGCCAATTGCTTAAGAAAGTTCTGCAAAAGAGTTCATAAAAACCCCTAAACTTAGAAACTCGGGGGCAACCCACTCAGGTCCCCCTCCCTCTCCGGGAGCTTTGTCCTCTCCGCTCGATAAGCCTTGCTTAGCCGCCCACCGCTCTTCCCGGTCTACCTCTTCGTTCTTGGAGCAGCGTGACCAAGAACCGTGAGCTCTTTGGGGGCAGAAATCCCGTAACCCAGGGTCCCCTCTGGTCTCTGCGGAGGCCCGGGAGGCATTGCCAATTTGGTTTCTTCTCTTAGTCACCAAGATACCCTCTTAGCTGGGGCTGTGCCGGGCGGGGCTGGAGCAGAGGGGCCAGAACCAGGTGGATTCGCGCCTCCTGTGTCCTGGCACCGCCGCTGCCCCCTTCTCTTTGGCTACCTCCAAAAGCCCCTCAAGGCCCCAGCCTGCTGCTGCGGGGCCGTCCAACTGCAGTTGCGGTTCTCCTGTGTGAAATGAGGGAAACGACCCTCAGACACTGTGGAGCTGAGGAGGAAACCGGGTCAGGCAGGTCCTGGTCCGAGTGCACGGAGGGAGATGAAGCAGGCGTGAGTGGCTGGGGGAGGCTGGGCTGTGAGGTTGGGGCCCCCTCCAGGTTCGAGGAGCTCCTCACCCCTTCCCGGCAGGTGAGCAACAGGCTCCCGGCCGCTGCCCAGACCCGACGCCAGATATTCTGACCCCCCAGGCCTGGAACCAATACGGAAGGGGTCAGATTTCTCCTGCCTTTAAGGATCATCAGAAGAGGGAGGTAACCACCAGCCCAGGGGCCTGAGCTGAGCGTCCCCAGGGTCGTGAGCTGAATGCCTCCCCCAGCCCCCCGCCCCTGCCAGGCTGTTGGCCCCCCGGGGATGGGCCTGGAGCCCGACTTCCCAGGTGGATTCTGGGACAGTCACCCTCCCGCTGACTCAGCCTTAGATCACCTCCCTCTGACTTGGCTAAAAATAGCCCAGCCCCGACTTCTGCACATATCTGAATATTGGGCTCAAGAGGCTCGTGATGCTGGACAAACAGTGCGGCTGGTTCTTCCCATGTTGAGGGTGAAGTGAGCAGAACAGAGGCCCCGTGCTTCCCCGGTCAACTCTCTGCTGCCAGCACCGGCCCTGGGCGTCCAAACCTGGCCACCAGCCACCTCCTCCTTGCAGACCCTCTGTCGGGGTCCCCAGGGCTGACGTGGGCTTGGGTATTTATTTGGCTTTTGGAGTTTCAGGCTGGGGCAAGGTGGTAACGGCTCCCCAGGAGTACACAGGATACCCCAGGATACTCCCTACCCTTGCCTGAGGTCCCCCTTGATCCCTTAGAATCCCTCACCTGTGCCCATGCCATTCTGGGGTCCTCAGAAGGTAGGAGAGGAGGGGCAGGTAGAGGTTGTGACTTCCCAGCCTTATCTACAGCCGGATCTGGGTCTCATTTCCCATCTTGTTCCCTCTCCCCATCATTCATTCATTCAGCAAACATTCCCCCAGCACAAGGGTTTGCTGTGACGCTTGACCCAGAGGGTGCAAAGTCTCCCATCCAGAGCCTCTGTTTTGAGCACCAGTGGCCAGCCTGGGCCTGCTGGGGTTCACTGGGTTTCCTGAATCTGAGGACCCTTCTTATTCACCAATTCTGGAAACACCTTGGCCTGCACATCTGCACATCTCCGTATTTCTCCTCTTCCACCAAAACGGACCAGCCTCTTCGCCTCACTGTTCAGGAACTCAGTATGTCTTCTGCTTTCTGGTTCCACAAGGCTGTAGTCCTCAAGGTTCTCTGTCCTCATCTCAAGGCCACACCCCTCATCCCCATGGAAGAATCAACATCCAAACCCCTGGTCCCAGGGCCTGCACGGCCACGTTCACACACTCACCACCTGGCTTTCAAGTATCTGGTTTCGGCCGGGCCTCTGGGGGTGCCCCTCCTTCCTGCAAACCCAGCTCTGCCTTCATCCGGACACTGCCATTATGTGGTGTTTATTTTCCGGTGTTTTGTAAAGAAGAACTTTCCGTGGGGCACGTGGCTGGCTCGGTTGGTAGAGTATATGACTCTCGATCTCACGGTTGTGAGTTCGAGCCCCATGTTGGGTGTGGGGATTACTTAGAAATAAAATCTTGAAAAAAAAAAAAAAAGAAAGAAAGAAAAAAGGAAAGCTTTCCAGTTACCTAGGCTGAGAGGGGATTAAGCTGGCAACCTTCCACGGAGTAGGGGGCTTACATTTAAAAAGTGGCTTCTCTCCTGGAAAAAAGGCAAGCGCATGCACACACACACCTAACTTGGGCCTTGGAATTAGCCAGCCCTGGGGTCAAACCCTGTCTTTGGCACTGGTCACTAGCTGCGACCCTGAGCAGTCAGCCGGTCTGGGTTTTAGCCCATCGGGTAGGTAAGTGCAGATAATACATATGAGTACTAATTTCCTATCGCTGTATAACAAGTGGACACAAACTGTCATAAAACAACATGAATATATTATTTTATTATGATTATATATTAATTTTCAGTCCAAGTCCAAAACAGGCCTCAGGTATAAAACAAGGTGTCAG